TATCCTTCCAGAACTAACTTTTCTTTTTCCTCTGGCTTCACCCTCTTCCGTGTTAGGGCCTTAGGCATTCTAGACAACACTTTGCCACCAGCTACATCCCCAGTGATCTTCCTTCTGGCTGTCCTCTGAGACAGGCTATTGCTTAATTCCTAGACTGAAGGCAATTCTCTTGCCTCAACCCCTTGAGTATCTAGAATCATAGTGCTAACTTCCAGTTTCCTGGTCTCTCCCTGCTTTCTCTTATACAATATGAGTACACTCTACTTTGTTTTGTATGGAACTTATCCCAGCACACATTTTACTTTCCTTGGCTACTGAAAAATGAGTCTTGTTCCATTTGTTAAACTCTGATGTACAATTTTTTAAAAAGGCTCATTGGGTGGTGGTGGCACACGCCTTTATTCCCAGCACTGGGGAGGCAGAGGGAGGTGGATCTCTGAGTTTGAGTCCTACCTGGTCTACAGACTGACTTCCAGGACAGGCAGGGCCCCACAGAGAAACCCTGTCTCAAAAACAACAAAACAAACAAAAAACTAACCAAACAATAACAACAAAAAGAAAGCAGGTTAGCTATAAACGCTAAATAAACACACACATAATCAAAGATACATATTCTATAAGATTACTAATAGGATGCTACCATCTAGAGGTGTCCATTTTCAGATTAGAGAAGTAGAGTGTGAGGCTGAGGGTACAGCTTGAACTAGAGACTTGACTAGCATGCACAATGCCCCGGGGCTCCATTCACAGCACTGAGGGAGATTGGGGGAAAGCTAATCATTCTCTAACATGCCCAGATACACTGATCGGGAGATCTCTCAGATCCTTGACCAGGTCTACCCCGGGCTCAGTGGCCAGCTTCTCATCCTGACCTCTGTCTTGGGTGCCACATAGCAAAGCAGCTATGACCAGTGCTGGTAACTCACCTTCTACCCAGAGCTGTTCTGGGTCTGTCTCAATAACGGCGACTCGGAGACCCAGTGCCAGAGCCCCAAAGGCCACCAGTCCCAGGAAGAGCACTTTGCCACAGTGTCTCTGGACCCTGCACCCCAGGGAGAAGAGTAGGCCTTGGAAGTAAGTACGAAGCCAGACAGGAGCCTGCAGGCTCCCAGCTAGGATCTGGGATAGAAAGAGAAGGGTCAGCCAGGTGTCAGGGTAACAGTGCAGAATCCTTCTCTTTTCTCTCTCTGTCATGTCCTGGTTTCCTGACTTCTGGATGCAGGGCAGGAAGCAGCTACAGATAGAGGCTTCAAATTAAAGAGTTAACGCTCTCTTTCGCTGTGGCCATCTCCACACCCGAGGATGTGGGGCGAACCCACAGAGGTACTGTTTTCAATGACCGGATGATAGGAGATAAACTAATATCACTTGCTAGCTTGTGTCTTCAGACAGATCCAGTAACACCTGCCCTATAAACATCACACACCCTGCAGACGTTCAAGTGACAGACACAAGCCCAGCTTCTTCTAGCTTCTCTTCTACTCACCTGAGGTGCAGCGGACCGAGCCGGAGGTGTGTAGTTCGGAGGCAGCTCTCCAAGGGACAGCGGCCGAACCATGCTGATGAGGATGGGGGGCGCGAGCGCCCCCAACCTGCGTTATCTGAGCGCGGCCATAGGCTAGCTCGGCCCCTTGTGCGGTCTGGCTTCGCCTGGGGATTCCTAGGGGCCGCGAACCTGCGGTCGTGAGTGAGACGCGGGTGCAGATGCACAGGAGTAGCCCGGAGCAGCGGTGCGGGGTGGTGCAGGCCCGCGGCGCTAAGTCCCTCTGGATCTGTGGGGCCGTGGTCCAAAGTGGGCTCCGCGTGTGGAACTGGCTGCTACGAAGCACCTCACAGCTCGAGGTGGCGACTGCTGATCTCGGGAAGCAGCAGGAGCCTCAGAAAAAGGAGCGGGCCGGGGTGACGCCCTCCTATTGGCTGAGGGGGCTGCAAATTACCCGCAGCCCGGCTGCCGGATCCGTTGCTAGGTAACGGCGCCGCAGGGGGCGGGGCAGGAGACCACCCAGGCAGGGCCACCCCTTGCCTCGCCTCCCCTGCTCGCCTGCCCGCCCGCGGGGCCCAAGGGGAGGAGAAGGGAGGGCGATCCTGGAGGCTCTCGTCGCTGGCCAAGTGTAAGTCAGGATGTTGAGAAAGAGAGTCTGCTGGTCCCTTTAGGGCCACCCTTTCTTCCTGACCCAGAGCAACCCCGAAGACCTCCTTTCCATTCTCTCCATGTAGGCCAGAGTCATTGCTCTAAAATGCAAATCTCATGATTGCTCCAAAGCCCAGGATCCTGCATCAAACAACTATAACTACAGCTTCTCTCATAAGTGCCTCACACCCACTCACTTGCCTTCCAGTCCCTAACTGCCCTCAGTAATTTCCTAACCCTGCCATGTCTTGGCAGATAAACTTCAAACCTGAACTTGAGTCAAATAGTCCAAACTTGTGGAAGAGTAGTTCTTTGATTCCCTTTTGCTCTTGGTGGGTAATTTATTTTCTCTTCCTGCTTCTTATTAACACTGTTTATTTATCTGTGTGCTATTTTTTTTGTTGTTGTTTTTCAAGACAGGGTTTTCCTGTGTTACAGCTCTGGCTGTTGTCAAACTCCCAGAGACCTACCTGCCTCTGCTTCTTGAGTGTTGGGATTAAAGACATGTGTGTCACCACTGCCCACCTACATTATTTATTTATTTATTTATTTTGGTTTTTCGAGACAGGGTCCTTCTGTGGCTTTGGAGGCTGTCCTGGAACTAGCTCTTGTAGACCAGGCTGGTTTCAAATTCACAGAGATCCGCCTGCCTCTGCCTCCCAATTGCTGGGATTAAAGGCATGCGCCACCACCGCCCGGCCTGGCCTATATTTTTAAGGATTTATTTTAAAATGTTTTTTGAGACAGGGTCTCAGATAGCTAAGTTGGCCTTGAACTCCTGATCTTCTTGCCTCTACTCTCAAATTCAGGAATTATACAGGCCTGCATTGTCCAGCCTGTCCTATTATTGTATTTGTGATGACTTAACTCATGTACAGCAATTGAAAGCCTGTTTCCCCTGCTAGAAAGTAAGTGGTGCTCAATAATGTTGAGTGCTTCCCTAAGAATTGAAGAGACCAGGTGTAAGTGACAGGTGATGAGAGGAGCTTGTCTGTTAAACTTCTAGTTTTCCCATCTGATCACACTGTTTCTGTTTGTTCCTGACTGATAAACTCTTGCTATGTCATGGAAAGTGTGGGGAAGAAGCTGGGCATGGTGACACACATCCTTAATCTCATCCTCAGGAGGCAAAGGCAGGTGGATCTCTTATGAGTTCCAGGTCCCAACATGGTCTACACAAAGAGTTCTGGGACAGCCAGGGCTACCTAGAGAGACTGTCTCAGAAAACAAACAAAACAAAATTTGGGAAAAAGGAAGACCACAATAAATCTATTATTCTGATACCGCTAACACATCTGGCTAGCCTCTTGCTCAATTCTTCCAGACCTCTTAATCATTATATCATAAATATTTCATGTTACTGCACAGGCATCCCATCAGTCATTTGCAGAATGTCCTTAGGACAGATTCCCAGAAATGGGGTTGTTTGGGTCAAAAAGCATGAATATGTTTTTGGTCTTGTTACACATTGCCAAACTTTTTGAGAACTTGTGTGATTTGACATCAGCTCTAGGCGTTAGTCTTAGGGAAAGGAAGACGGGTTGAGGGGTGGGATCCTAAGGAGGGATTAGTGCATCTGTCTACAACACTGATATCCTGTGGCTGAGTGGCACCTGGATATGAAAGGAAGCCTGGGCTGGAGAGAGCTCTTAGCAGTTAAGATCACCTTTTGCTTTTGTAGAGGACCTAATTTTAGCTTCCAGCACCCACAGTGGAGTTCACAACTGCATGTAACTCCAGGAGAACCTTCTGGCCCCTGAGGACAACTTCATACACATGATAAGCATACAGACACTCAGGCACATATACATAAGGTAAATATTTTAAAAAGGGGCTGCAGGGATGGCTCAGAGGTTAAGAGCACTGGCTGGCTGCTCTTCCAGAGGTCCTGAGTTCAATTTCCAGCAATGACATGGTGGCTCACAACCATCTGTAATGTGTTCTGATGCCCTTTTCATACATGCAGGCAGAACATGGTATACATACTAAATAAATCTTTAAAAAAAAAAAAAAAGACAGGAAGCCTGTAGCCTGTGTGCATAGTGCTTCCCCCCAGTCATTGCAGGAAGTCCTCTGTGGAAATAGAAACAGCTCTCACATGGGCTTTGTGGACTCCAACATGGATCTTGGGGCTATAAAGACAGGAATCGACTAGAATAAGCACAGGGTGGCATTATAATGCTGGGACAGATCTGACACTTCTTGAGATTTTTCATGTTATCAGGTCCTGCAAGCTAGAGTTCCATAGAGACAGGTATGTAATCACCTCAGCCGAGATTGTGCTTTCTTTACCAGCTGATGGCTGCTATCAATTGCTGTATCAAAGACCTAGCATTTTTTTTTTTTTAATAAAGATGACCATATGTAGCTGAGATATGTCTTAAGCTCTGATCCTCCTGTCTCAGCCTCCCAAATATTGGGACTTTAGGCAGGCATCATGACATCTGGCTTGGGATTTTGACACACACCACTCACTGTGCAGATAAGGTTGGTTATAGGTGTAACCACACTGGGGCTTTCTATGGATGCTTCGCAAAGAGTTTATCCACTGAGAAAACCTCCTGCTAATCAATTCAACAAGAGTATAAGAAACTCATCTATCCTTTCTAGTCTTCCCAAGCTAGGGTTGTTGCTCAAAATGACCAAATGTGTGTTTGTATGTGGGTATGTACACATGAATGCAGGTGCCTGTGGAGACCAGAGGTATCATATTCTCCTGGAGCTGGAGTTACAGTTAGGTTTGGGTGTTCAAAACTGAACTTGGGTTTTCTGCAAGGGCAGTTCATGCTCTTATCCATTTTCCCAACCCCTAACATGGCTTTTCTTTAGCTCAACAAAATTACTTCCTGGGTTTGGGGCAAGAACTAGTGTACTTACCTGGCAGGGGAAATACCATGATCACGAAGGTGGTTTTCTCAGGACGAGGCTTATCTATTATGCTCAGATGTGCTGGCCCCTGCCATTTCCCCATATGTGGGAAACTTGACCGCATATTTTGTGGTAGTTGGGGACTATGTTCTCAATCTCCCCCAAAGAAAAAAAGTGGTTTTTTTTTTTTTTTTTTTCCTTTTAGAAGAACTAGAGCCAGGCACTAGATAATTAGCATAATTAGCAGAAATAAGATAGTAAGGTAAAGAAGGCTAGCCAGGCATGGTGGCACATGTCTTTAATCCCAGCACTCAGGACGCAGAAGCAGGCAGATTGCTGAGTTCCAGCCAACCTGGTCTACCGAGTGAGTTCTAGGACAGCTAGGGCTACACAAAGAAACCCTGTCTCAAAAAAAAAAAAAACCCAAAATAAACAAAAAGAACAAAACAAAAAACACTCGCGTGCACACACACACATAGGCACATGGGAGAAAGTGAGCGCTATGATTTCAGGGGAGGATTAATACGATGTAGGGCAGATCTTCTTTTTATGTATTTTCCAAGACTTCTTACCATAATTTTTGCTTGCTTGTTATCTGGGCCAGGTAGAGGCAATGACCATGATGTGGAGGGAAAATAGGTGGCTGATTAGACTTAGATGCCAAGCTTGCTATGTGTGTATCTTCCCATCAGGCAGCTTCAGATCAATAGCAGCTATCAATTCTGGTGCCAGAGGCTGCAACTGGAGATCAGAGAATAGCTCTCCAGTGGGGCACAGGGAAGAGAGGCTTTCGGTGCCAAAGGCAACTTGTTTTCCATGTGGTTGGAGTCTAGGCCAGGTCATCCTGGCCTCCAATACAATGTCCCTTTCCCTCAGGGTCAGCTCCATCAGGAGCTTTCTAGACCTTCTATCTGGGTGGGCCTTCCCATGGACATAGTTAACTATTTAGTGTCTTGTTTCTGTTTCTGCTGAGAAGGGGGTCTTTGTATGTTACCCAACCTCCTGGGCTCAAGTGATCTTCCCACTTCAGCTTCTAAGTACTGGGATATGGCACCCATCACACGAGCAACTACTAAGAAAGCAACCTATAGCCAGTTGGTGATGGCACATGCCTTTAATCCCAGCACTCAGGAGGCAGAGGCAGGAGGATATCTGTGAGTTCAAGGCCAGCCTGGCAGCCTGGTCCACAGAGGGAGTTTCAGGACAGGCTCCAAAGCAATACAGAGAAATCCTGTCTCAAAAAAAAAAAAAAAAAAAAAAAAAAAAAAAAACAAAACAAAAAAACAAACAAACAAAAAAAAAAAAACAGCCTATAAAAGTATAAAGGTCTGGCTTACGTACCTCCCTCCTTAAGGGTAGGGATGGCTGTAGATAAACAAAGGTGCTTCCTGCAAATCTCAGTTTGGGAAGGAACTTGTAGGGAGGACAATGTTGGCTTCAATTTAAGAGCCTTTGTCAGCAGGCTGAAAAGAAGTGTTAAGAGATGGTTCCTGCAGAAGCAGCCCTTAAGTTTTCTGGATGGGAAGCTTGCAAAGGTGCTTTTTCTGTTTTCTTTTTGTTTTTGATAGGGTCTGTGTAGCTCTGGCTGTTTTGAAACTATGTAGAGCAATCTGGCCTTGAACTCACAAAGGTCTACCTGCCTCTGCCACCTGAGTGCTGGGATTAAAGGTATGCACCACCAAGCTAGGCTTGATTTATGTTAGCACTTTCTCAAAGGCCTCCTTAAAAGTTGCCCTCATCCAGCTGGGCAGTGGTAGCGCACGCCTTTAATCCCAGCACTAAGGCAGATATCTGTGAGTTGGAGGCCAGCCTGGTCTTCAAAGACAGTTCTAGGACAGTCTCCAAAACCTACAGAGAAAACCTGTCTTGAAAAACAAAAACAAAAATACATCCTCTCTTCCTTTGCTTCCTTTATCAAACATTCCCGGGAAGAGCAGGGCAGACTTCTACCAGCACCACCTTCCTGGCTGGCAGGCCAGTGGACATTCCAATTGTTGCTACGTTGCAGACATTACCCATCTGCAGCTACCAAAGGGAAATAAAAATGGCTTCTGCCTACTGGTAGACAGACAGAGCACAGAGAACAACAACGCCTTCTGACATCTAGGAGCTGCCAGGACAATGGCACAGCACCCTGAGCTGGAAGCTGCTCTCAGCTGGGATTCAGACCTGGGGCAGATACTCTTCAGCTCCTTTCCTGGGTGCATGCAGTTAACAGACTCTGGGAAGGCAGGAGAGATTTCCCTCAGTGAGGGGCTCTGAGGGTATAGCAGGGAAGGATGCAAAGGAGCACAGGGGTCTGCAACCGTTGAGGCATCTCCTCTCTGCTGCCATCTCCCTTTCCCACCACAGCTACCCTAGCTTCACCCCCTTCGAGGTCTGAGACTTCTGATTGGGACCTAGAATCCGTAGCCAGGAGCGCTAAGAAAAGAACTAACCCGAAGATAGGAAGGGCCTTTAGAAAGCACTCACCCTGCCAGGAGGTGGTGGCGAACACCTTTGATCCCAGCACTCGGGAGGCAGAGGCAGGTGGATCTCTGTGAGTCTGAGGCCAACCTGGTCTACAGAGCAAGTGCCAGAACCAGGTTACACAGAGAATCCCTGTCTGGGAAACAAAAACAAAACAAAACAAAAAAAGCACTCAATCTGGGAGTTGGAGATGGTTCAGTGGGTAAGAGTGCTCACTGCTCTTCCAGAGAACCCCAAAATAAGCATTGCCTGTAACTCTAGGTCCAGGGGGTCCTATAGCCTCTTCTGGTTTCTGCAGGCCCATGAACACACACACAGCACATACAGACATAAGAAATAAAAATAAATTTTTTTTTGAGAGAGTTTCACTATGTAGCCTTGGTTATGTTGGAATTCCCTCTGTGGACCAGGCTGTCCTCTAACTCAGAGATCCACCTGCCTCTGCCTCCCAAGTGCTGGGATTCAAATAAAATCTTTTAAAGAAATATTTAATTTTACGTGTGTGGACATTTTATCTATCTTTGTGTCACTTGCATATCCTAAGGTTTCAGATCCCCTGGAAATGGAATTACACAGTTGTGAGTCACCATGTGAGTGGAATTGAACCTGGGTCCTTTGGAAGAACAGCAGTGCTCTCAACAAGCAACTGAATGCCCAGCCCAAAATGAAATCTTTACATTGTTTTTCAAGACAGGTTTTCTCTGTGTAATAGTTCTGGTTGTATTAGAACAGCCTATCTCTGCTAGGATTAAAGGTGTAAATCACCACCACTGGGCTCAAAATAAAATCTTTAAAAAAAAAAATTAACTCATCCTAATTTTTGTTTTGGAGATGGAGATACTCAGGTTAGGAGAGGCAGTGATCTGGCTAGAACCAAAAACTATCACACAAAATAGTCTCCCCACCCCCCACAAAAAAGTCTTTTTCCACTCAGCCTAGGATGATGTACTACTTGACATCAACCTTTATCATCATCATCAACATCATTATTATTTATTGTTACTTTATTGGCTTTTCAAGACAGGGTCTCACTATGTAGCCTGGTTTTCCTGTAACTGTGAAGACTAGGCTGGCTTTGAACTCACAGTGTCAGCCTAGCCTTTGTTTTTTTTTTAATTAAAAAAAAAAAATACTTTTTCTTTGAGACAGTGTTTCATGCAGCTCAGGCTGGCCTCAAACTTCCTGTATAGCTGAAGATAGTCATGATCTTCCTGCCTCCTCCTCCTGAGTGCTGGGATTACAGGATTGTGCCACCATACCTGGCAAAGAACCCAAACATTTAATTCTAGTTCTATAGGAACCATCTTGGACACTATCACAGTTCTTTATGTCTCCTTCTCTCCCATGGGTTCAATCACTTCTGCTAGACCATGTCTGTGAAGGCAAGCTTCCAGGAGCCCTATCCTAAGCACTGGGAGGAACGGAGAGTCAAGGCTCCCAAGACTGGCGGGGGTGGGGGTGGGGGTGGGTGGATGGGGGGGTTGGGGGGGTGGGGCTCCTCCCGGGTAGGCATGCTCATCTCTCTCACAAGTTCAATGAGACCAACGTACGATAGGGCAAGGTTACTCAAGGGAACGCGAGAGCCTGGAAATGTTTGAAGCAACGTAGAAACCAGTATTTCAAACTATTCTTTATTGTAATTACTGCCACCCACAGTGAGGACATCAAGAGAAACTTTTACTTTGATAATTCTAGGAGGTGAAATCTTACCCCAGGAGTCACTTTTATCTTCTTCTAACACCTGGAGGCTGTGAGAGCAGTGCAAGGAGGAACAAGAGCAGGTTCCTTATGTTTGGGAGCTGGGGGTGTGAACTGGAAGGGGAGGACTCCAGAGGGCTGTGAACACAATTACCTGAAGCATGGGCACCTACATAATTAAGACAAAAAGGACGCAGCTGGAGAAAAGTCAGGGCGACTCTCAAACTGTAACACTAGTTATTGGCTCTTCCTTGCCGGGCTGAGTGGGCATCACTAAGGGTGTGGTAGAGATGGAGTAGGTTTGGCGCAGAACACCATTTTAGATCATAGCTTTTGTCTCCATGAAATCCTGTGGGGAAAGGCTGTTCACTAGCCATGGGCTTCCTTTAGCTTGCTCTAAAAGCCTTGAAGGCAGTGGCTCTCCACCTGTGGGTCTCAAACCCCTGTGATGGGGTGGGTCAATGACCTTCCACAGGCATTTCGTAACAGATATTTACATTACAATTCATCACAGTAGCAAAATTAGTTATGAAGTAGCAATGAAATAATTTTATGGTTGGGGTCACTGTAACATGAAGAACTGTATTAAAGGGCCACAGAATTAGGAAGGTTGAGAACCACTGCCCTAAGGGTTAAGAGTTGAGTTGAGGGAAAAGGGGTAGAGACTCAGTGAATGACTGGGTGAGGGACAGGGAGGTAGCATGTGCTAGATATCTGTATGGTAGCTACCAGAACAGAAAATAGTAAGTCCTGGGCTAATATTCAGAGCTGGCACTGAATATTCAGAGCTGGCTAACTGCTGAGCTAAGTATCTAGAAAGCCTGATTAGGGTCAGGACTTTTAAAAGTATCTTTTAAAAAACTATTCTGTGAATTCCAGGCCAGCCTAGTCTACAGAGTGAGTTCCATTACAGTCAGGGTTATACAGAGAAATCCTATCTCAGAAAAAACAAAAACAAACAAAACACTATTTATTATTATTGTGTGTACATGTGTGT